TTTCTTTCTTTCTTTCTTTCTTTCTTTCTTTCTTTCTTTCTTTCTTTTTTCTTCCTTCTTTCCTTCTTTTTTTCTTTCTTTTTTTCTTTCTTTCTTTCTTATTTCTCTCTCTCTCTCTCTCTCTCTTTCTTTCTTTCTTATTTCTTTCTCCTTTCTTTCTTTCATTAAATCCGTAGCTCCAGCACCTCTGAGCAGCATTGAGCACCCCAAATCTCCCTTTCTGTGCATCTTTTTGGGGTGCCTTCTGGTATTTCTAAAGTGAACCCTTTAGAACCTACCGTCTCCTTGCTGGTTTTTGTAAAACTTGCTTAGTAGAAAAATCAGCTTTTGGTAGCAAAAGATAAATAAAACGGTCTCCAACCTCTTCAAACATTTGCTTTCTTTCTTTTTCCTTTTTTAATTGTCGGTGGATTAAACCTATATTTTTCCTCCTCTCCTCCTGAGATTGTAAAAATTATGTAAAATTCCGGACAGTTAAGATCATTTTTGATCAAAGTTTTTTCCGGATCTGGCGTTCAAAAAAACGTCCCTTGTAAAAAAACCCGGGACTAACCGAGGCCGCATGCAGATCTTCGCTTCGCCGGCGCCTCTTTTTCTCTCTCCATTCCCCCCACAAAAGCTCAATTCTTCGTCTTCGGTTGAAATTATTTCTCCGGGGTCCTCCGTTTTTTGGCGCGGGGGTTTGTAAAATAGGACTTTGGGGGGGGCTTCTGGTCGGTGTGTGTGTGTGTGTGTGTGTGTGTGTGAGAAAAACTGAGATTTGTTTTCTTCCAAGTCGGGCAGGAAAAGGAACGCGCAGCGTAGCCGACACCCGCGAGTTCCTTTCGCAGATAAAGTTGGGAGCACGCCGCCCACACCGTTTGTGTGTGTGTGTGTGTGTGTGTGTATTGGGGGGGGGGGGGGCACGGATGTGGAGGGGCATGTAAGCAGCCGGGGAGAAACGGTTAAAGGAAGATTTCACGGAGCCCCCCGCCCCCGGCCGCAGTTGGGGGAAACGATTCGATTTACTCCTCTGAGTAGACGCGCCGCGCAGTTCCGTCGGAATTCTAAAAAGGAAAGGAAAAAAAAAAAAAATCCGTGTGAATCGCGACCCGCTCCGTGAGTTGTCTAAAATTTGGGTGTTTTGTTTTGCTTTTTTGCAAAGGAAAAAACGCCCCCGGAGATAGATAGATAGATAGATAGATAGATAGATAGATAGATAGATAGATAGATAGATAGATAGATAGATAGATAGACAGACAGACAGACAGACAGACAGACAGACAGACAGAAACAGGCAGGCAGGCAGAAAAGACAGAAAGACGGAGAGAGATTATAGAGAGAAAGAAAGAGAAAGATGATAGAGATGATACAGAAATACATGTGTGTGTGTGTGTGTGTGTGTTTGTGTGTATGTAGAGAGAGAGGGGGAAAGAGGGAAAGAGAGATACAGAGAAGGAGAGAGATGGATGAGATGGATTAGATAGATAGAGAAATAGATAACTAGATAGATGAGAGAGAGAGATGATAGAGAGATGATAGAAAGATAGATTGAGAGAGAGAGAAACAGAGAGAAGAGAGAGGTGATAGATAGATGACAGATAGATAACGAGAGATAGATAGATAGATAAAAGAGAGAAAGGAGAGAGAGGTGATAGATAGAGATGAGAGATGAAAGAGAGAGAGATGAGAGATAGACAGAGAGATGATAGAGAGAATGGGAGAGAGGAGAGGTGATAGATAGATGAGAGATAGATAATGAGAGATAGATAGATAGTCTCCCCTCCCTGTCCCCCTCGCCCCCACCCGCTTACAAAGGCCTGGTTTTTGGATATGTAAAAGCGGATGAATCTCGCCCCCCCCCTTTCCACGAGGTTTGCACGTGGAAGCAAAAAAACAACAAACACCCCTGTCTTTAAATTCCATGCAAGTTTGGGACCAGGAGGAAGAGGTGGGGTTGTTTGATTTGCTCCGAAACTTTTATCAGAAAAAATGTAAGGGAATCGCTCGGTGGGCTCCAGATTGTGTGGGGAAGGTTTGCATTCGTCCGTGGGCTGGACGTTGGCTTGGAAAAACAGGTCCAGGTTATGGCTGGTTGCAGGGTCAGCCAGATGTTCAGACTGGAATGGGCATGTTTTTACCCTCCTATCTATCCAGTCCTTCGCAAGGAGCTGGGACAGATGTTCTTCCATCCCCTTTAAAGACTCCTGTAAGCAGCAGCCAGTCAAAAGCTGCCTTTGGCAATTGACTGGTGTGGTTGTCATTGTCACAGTTCCTCTGCCCTCTCAGCCAGATGTTCAGACTGGAAGTGACATTTGTATCCACCTATCCAGTACTTCCCAAAGATCTGGGAAGAGCAGACGTTGTTGTTGTTGTTGTTGAGTGGTAGTAAAAGTCTTGTAGCAGGTTGTCAAGCTGCCTTTTGTAATGGGGATTTTTGTCAATGCCAATATTATTATTGTGGTTGG